GCAGGCGTCCCGGGAGCAGAATGAGAGGATGGCCGGCCTGCCGCACATCCCGGGCCCCGAAAACCTGCGCCCCTTCACCCCCGCCTCGCTGGCTGCCATCGAGCAGCGCATCGCTGAGGCAGAGGCGCTCAAGGTAAAGCGGCAGCAGGTGGAGCTGCCCGAGGAAGAGGAGCTCAAACCCAGCAGCAGCCTGGAAGCCGGCAAGAACCTGCCCCTTATCTATGGCGATCCACCGCCGGAGCTCATCGGGACGCCCTTGGAGGACCTGGACCCTTTCTATAAGGATAAGAAGGTGAGAGGCAGAGCGTAGCCCATGTGTAGACTTGGCATTAGATGCAAAGCCAAAGAAAAAGACCAAAGCATGGGCCTCTCCTTTCCCCCATGCCCTTGTCCGAGCCCATCTTGGTGATCCACAGCCCCAGATTGTAGTGGTTTCTTCTCCTCCAAAGCAAAGCATCTGTTCCTTGGCTGAGTCCCAGTCTTTGGAGTTACAAAGCATGCATAGAGGTCCCACCTCTACAGGCAGCACTTGCTCCGTGGGTGTTTTGGGGGTGTGCAGAAGGGCTAACCCATCTCTCTGCTCTCTTCTCTCCACAGACGTTCATAGTCCTCAACAAAGGGAAGTCCATCTTCCGCTTCTCAGCAACCCCTGCCCTCTACCTGCTGGGGCCCTTCCACCCCATCCGCAGAGGAGCCATCAAAGTGCTCATCCATTCATATCCTTGCCCTCTGTGGTGCTGCTCTATTGCCAGGTCAAACCCTGATGCTCAGAGTGCAAACAGCCCTGGGACAGGGCTCAGAGTGGGGTTTCGAGATGGGGTTTTGTGGTGAGCAAATCTCCCGGGCTGGCCCCTACCATGGGTGAGTCACATGGCCCAGACATCCTAATGCTTTGGTCTCTTTCCTAGGGGTGGGTGCCTGAAGGTTTTGGGCACCAAGAGCTCGGGGAGGAAACTGAAGTGGTGGTGCTTCCTAGGAAGAGGTTCAAGTACTCTGAGATCTGGAGAGACTTGGAAAGGTCAGGGGATCCTGTCCCATCTGGGAAGTGGGTGAATTAGGGAGGATGCTCAAAGGATGCCTTGGGAGAGCGAAGGAAGAGGAACCAGGACATTGGGTTATAGGGAAGGAGGCAACTTGGGAAGCACTAGGGCCTTTGGTGTGAGATGGGAAGACAGGAAGGGACCCCAGGAGCAAGGGGGGCTTTGGGGTGGGTGGGAAGTGATCCCAGCAGGGATTGATGACCTGGAGGTAGGAGGAGAAAGGGGGGTGACTGTGGCAGAGGGATCAGACAAGGGGGGAAGCTGTGTCCTGGGGTGATGGGGAGGAAGGAGCACAGGGGGTGAGAAGGGAGGCAGAGCCAGTACCATGGAGATGGGCACCAGGAAGGGAGTGCAGGGGCCTGGGTCCATGCATGGGAGCAGTGGGGCTGAGCCAGGAGGAGCTGCAGGAGGAGCAGGTCAGGCTGTGGGAGCCAGGACTGGAGGAGTAGGGGTGCTTGGCTTCACAACTGTGTGAAGTGGGGAATCCAGGCAGCAGCCGCAGCGTTTCTCCTTGACGACATTTTAAATTATTCAGCATGTTGATCATGATCACGATCTTAACCAACTGCGTGTTTATGACGATGAGCAACCCCCCGGCGTGGTCCAAGAACGTGGAGTAAGTCCCTGCGACCTCCCTGGCCATGGGGGATCATCATCATCATCCTTGGGAGGGACAGGGACAAGGCTGAGAGAGGGGTGTTGGGATCCAGGCACCCTGGTGACACTGGGAGATGCTGGTGGCCCTCTTGGTCTCAGAAGGGACATCAACACTCTGCATTAGGCATTGAAAAGAGTGCTTCAGAGCCTCCCAAAATCTGGTGGGGTCCCTGTGATAGGGGACCACTGCAGAGCAGGCTGGGTCGGGTCAGGGCAGCAGTGATGGCCTGGAGAGGATAAGAAGATCCACCAGTCCATGGACAACCAGCCCCAGGTGGGAAGGGGAAAATACAGCGTTTTCTGCTGTGGTTCTGCACAGTGGGGTCTCAGCGGGGTTTTACAGGGTGGGACATCAGCAGGGATCAGCGGTGCTGCAGAATAGTTACCAAAGGCAGCGGCACCTCAAGATGCCCCAAGCTGCCCTACAAGGTGAGGTAAAAACCTCTCCCAGAGCCAAAGCACCCCAAGAACCACCAGCCCCCAAACTCAGCTCCCCAAGGTGATCTCACTGGCAGGGGTGGACAAAACCTCCTGGTGCCCAGGCTTCATCCCGAGCTGGGTGAGCATCCTCCGAGCCGCCATTCCCGTTTCAGATACACCTTCACTGGGATATACACCTTCGAGTCCCTCATCAAGATACTGTCGAGAGGCTTCTGCATCGACAGCTTCACATTCCTGCGCGACCCCTGGAACTGGCTGGACTTCATGGTCATCTCCATGGCGTGAGTTTGGTGGGGTGGGGGGAGGACAAGGAGGTCCAGTCACTGCATCTGGGAGGGGACACGGGGCAGGAGGGCTGAGAAACAGAGGGGTGGGTGCCTGGCCAAGCCCTTGAAGCGCTCTCCTCTCCTCCAGCTACATCACCGAGTTCGTGGACCTGGGGAACATCTCCGCTCTCAGGACCTTCCGCGTCCTCCGCGCCTTGAAAACCATCACGGTGATACCAGGTGGGACTTAAAGAAGGGCTCTCCTCTCCGTGCCTTCCCCTTCCTTGAGCTCAGGTTTCCCTGCAGTTCACAGCAACTCCTCGTTCTTTTGACAGCTCTAAAAGAAAACAGAGGAAATGAGAAGGTATTGGATGCTTATAAATAATTTTCCGTGTAATTTAGCCTGTGGGTCAGGTTCCGCTGATTTTACATCTTGAAATTAGCTGTGCTCATTCGGTTTCTTGGCCAGGGAAAGCCCCTGAGGAGCCAGACGTGGGGTTTTTAGGGCTCCTTGGAGATGTCTTAAGTGGGCTTGATGAACTGATACGCTTTGCTTGGTCCTTGCAGCCACAAACTCAGTTTTGTCCCCACTGTTGACCACTCTGGTGCTAGGATTGCAATATTTAATGGTTATTAGTGGAAAAAGCCGTGTGGCGAGTGTTTAACATCACCCCGAACATCCAGCCTGCAGTGTTGGGAGAACATTATCAAATACAGCTGGTGGCTGTTTCCCAAATTTCATACCATTTCAATACCATGCTTTGGCACCACAGAAATGACAGATCAGGCCCCTTGAAGAAGCGTGAGATTAAACGGAATATTGTCATTTCTTGTGGTGAATCAATCCTTATGTCCCTGCGGTTTCCAGATCTTTAGGGTTCATATTTAAATGGATTTAATTTTTTTTGCCTGCATCAAACAGGCTAAAAATTGCATGTAGGAAAATGTAAACTGCTGCTTCCTTCTGGAATGGCATCCCCCCAGGAGGCTCTGCAGAAATAGCAGTTGCAAAAATAAGCTGGTTTAGAACGGCCGTCCTCAGCGGTTTCCCAACATGGACGAGGCCTTGGGGAATGGGGTTTTACCTAAATAGTTTGGGGAAGGAGGGAACTGGAACGATGACAGGGATAAAAACCACGTGTCTTTGGAGATTTGCCTCCACGTGAGAAAGCTCTGTGCTCCCAGCTGCTTTTAGGATCAGCATCAGGATGTCCTGGCATAACCTATCATCCATGTAGACCTCGGGTGATGGGAACGACATCTTCCAAGCCAAAAGTCTGCCAAGGATCTTTGGGCAAGGCTCCTCTGCAGAGGAAATTGGGACAGATGAGTTAATCCCAAAGGTTCATACAAACGTCACTTGGTCACCTTCACTTAGACACATCGGGATGGGATGTCTATGGCTTGAAGGGATCAGCTGGACTGGATCCATCCCCGGGTCAGCAGCACAGGGGGGTGTTGGACCACAGAAGCTTTTCTGGAGCTGAGAGCAGTGCTCAGCATCTTCCAGCAGGGCTGGCAAATGGCTTTTCCGTATGCCACAATGAAATGGTCTGTTCTGGTGGTTTGGGCCAAAAAAGGCCAGATTGAGGCATGTGGGGAAAACAGAAAGCCAAAAGGAACTGATGGCTGCCAGGCTGGGCTGGGTTTTGGCTTGTGATGTCCAGGTTAAGGCCAGTATGGGGAAATTTGGCTGGTGTTGTGGTTTAGGGCTGGCTGGCTGGTTAACAGACGCTCTCTGTGAACCCCTCTGCCCTCCCCAGAAGGGAAGAGAAAAGAGAAGAAGGGAGAGAGACTTTATGGGTTGGGAAATAAAGCTAACAGGTTTAATGAAACAATAATACTGATACTACAGGATAATAATGTAAATAGGAAAATAATGAAATATATACAGACATGTACAAATATACCTACAAAACCAGTATAAAATCCTCCCCCAATGACGATGATGGCACCAGAGGCTCTGGGAGCACTGGAAAAGTCCTAGTGCGGACCCAGCAGCAGTGGGAGCTGATGCAGGAGCACAGGGATCAGGAACAGAGGCAGCCGCAGCAGCAGGGGGCGCCGGGGTGCTGGGCCTTGGGCCACTGCAGGGGGGGAGAGGGAAGGAAGGGTCCAAGCTGGAAGGGTCCAGACTGGTGATCCCTCAGCTTTACACTGAGTGTGACAAATGTGGGATGCAATACCTCGCTGGGCAGGTTTGGGTCTGCTCCTCCCAATAGGCACAGACACAGCACCCATAGTGAGACAGTGGCCTTGAGATTATCACTGTAGCAGCACAGACTGAAAAAACATGCTGCTAGTTTTCAGCAAGTTCAGCCACTTAGAAGAGACTGAGCTGAAAAGCAAAATCACTAAACAGAAAATTAGTTCTGTTTAGCTCAAACCGGGACAGCTGACATTCATCCAAGGAGGACAGGTTTTGGGGAAGGGTTCATGCTGCACAGCAAGGTATGGGGACAGAGGGGCAGCAGGGATGCAATGTGGGATGCAGAGCCGGGGTGAACTTGGTGATATCACATCCCCACCAGCTCAAGAAACTTTTGGGAATGCCATAGCTCATTCTACACAATTGGTAAACGAACAATTAGCTCAGTAGTGACCTCTCTCCCCTAGGGCTGAAGACGATCGTTGGGGCTCTGATCCAGTCGGTGAAGAAGCTCTCGGATGTGATGATCCTCACCGTCTTCTGCCTGAGCGTGTTCGCCCTCGTCGGTCTCCAGCTCTTCATGGGAAACCTGCGGCAGAAGTGCGTGCGGTGGCCGCCCCTCAATGACACCCTGCTGGGGGACTTCGGGCTCGACAACGACACGTTGGCCAACGCAACGCTGGACGGCAACTTCACCGACGGCTTCGCCAGCAACTTCACCAGCAACTTCACCAGCAACAGCACCTTTGATTTCGAGGCCTACATCAACGATGAAGGTAAATGCTTGTGCATTCCCTTCTCCACTGACCCATTTGCTCCTCAGTTTGCCCTGCCCCTCCTCAATGTCAGACCAAGTTGGTTTGCTCGTGGGGGTCTTCCCACTGAGGTGCTTTGCAAGAAGATGTGGCTGGTGGGTGGACCAGGGGTTGTGCATGTTCATAGGATGGACAGATGGGATCAAATCCTCCTTGCCAGGGAAAATGCAGCCCATGTGGACAAGATAAACTCCTCCAGGAATAATTCATTATGGGGAGACCTGGGCAAATCAGTGTCTCCATTTCTCCCACTTGCAATCTCCCCATTTGGAGGTGCACTGCTGCTCCATCTGGCTGGTGACAGCAGGGAGGCCGAGCCCTCTAAGAGCAGATAGGACTTTGGGTAGAAAACCAGAGGGAAGGACGCAGGAATGACATTTCTCACCCACTGTCACTGCTGCACCAAAGCTGAGCCCTTCCCCAGGTACCTCTGCATCCAGTGAGTGTTGGCATGAAATAAGTTTGGCCAAAAAAAGTGTGGTGGGTTTTTCATTTGTTCTTCGGTTTTGGGTTTTTAAACTCCATTAAAATGTAAAAGAATCTCAGGAAATCTGCCTGGCAGAGCTGCACAGTGGCAGGATGCTCCACGGGGATGCTTCACATCTCATTTGGGCACTTGACGGAGCTCAGAAGGTCAGGTTACGTCTGGGCTGAGCTGTTTCATCCAACCGTGCGAGTAGCTCTGACATTAATTACAGGAAGGCTTCTTGGTAGGGGTGATTCAATATATAGGATGTAATGAGCGCAGCACAAATAGCGACAGCACCCTGCGGCCATGCGTTCAGGTTAACGGGGACTGGGGCCAGGCCAAAACCACGTCACCTGCAGTTTCACGGGCAGGATATCTTCTCAATGACAGGTTAAATAAAAGCCTGGTGGCGAGAAGCCAGGCACAGCCGGAGATGCTTTGAGGAAGCCCCAGAAAACCCCATGTGGGTCCTCAAAGGGCTTTGCCAGGTGATGCCCAGGTTGGAGTGCAGTTGCCCTCTGCCATGTCCCAGGGTGGGTGTCTCCAGGTGCTCCTCTGAGCGTCCATGGGGACAGGGGACCTGTGGTGGCACTGCTTGGCATCTCCTGCAGCTCTGGGCCTGCGCTCGAGCTGTAAAGAGGAGCTTTTAGGACCCCTGGTTTGTGAACAGGGTGGGTTTCCCCCCTGGGCAGCAGCAGAAGGAAGGCAATGGCCATGGAGCAGGAGCAGACCATTTCCCCAGGCTTTTTTGGGACCCCTGCGGTCCCCCATGCTTGGTGCTCTCCGGGAATGCCCAGCTATTTTGTAATTTTGCCCAGCAAAACAGACCAGCCCTGGTCCTTCCAGCACATGGTAACCCACCTTCACAGAAGGCCTGAGCCAGGCCAACCTGGCTGTTTCCAAAGCTCTTCATGGGTTTGGGAGCTATCTACTTGGGTACTTGGGGGATTGGACTAGATGATCTTTTGAGGTCCCTTCCAATCCCTAACGTTCTATGATTCTGTGATACTTGGATAGGTGAGACCATGCCATGAGGCCTCTGAGCTAGGGCCAAGTAGTTCAAGGCAAAAAGCGAAGTCAACAGAGAGGAGATAACCCAGTGCCCAACTCTGGAGTTTGGAGGATTTCCCTGGCAGCGAGGGGCTGCCAAGGACTTGAAAATCAATATTTGTATTTATTTATTTCATGTCTTCCTCTCTCCCCAACTGCAAAGCCAATTTCTACTTTCTGGAGGGAGCGCTCGACGCCCTGCTCTGTGGGAACAGCAGCGATGCTGGGTGAGTGCGGAAGGGGGGTGATGCAGCCAGCACAGCCTGTGGAACCACGGTGCTTGGGATGGAATGGGACGGGATAAGGGCTGGTGGTGAATACAGGTCTGGGAATCCCACCTGTATCAGCCTGGGGGGGTATTGGTCCAGGCATCCTGCCTGTATCAGCTTGGAGGGTGTTGGATCGGGCATCGCAATGGTATCAGCCTGGGGAAACCCTGCTGGATCATCTCAGCACCCCCAGGGATGGATCTTCTGGCTGTTGTGGGGGCAGGAGGGGCAGTACCAGGGGCTCACACCGGCTGCCCTTGCGGCTCCTTTGGTAGGAAGTGCCCTGAAGGGTACGAGTGCATGAAGGCGGGGAGGAACCCGAACTACGGCTACACCAGCTACGACACCTTCAGCTGGGCTTTCCTGGCCCTCTTCCGTCTCATGACGCAGGACTTCTGGGAGAACCTCTTCCAGCTGGTAGGCACCAAATCCTGACCATTGTGCAAATGCTCCTCTCATTTTGATGTTGCCCCTGGTCTAGGAATGGCAGAAAGAGACTTGGCTGGAAATTTGTGGGCCCTTGTCCTGTGGTTTGGGGATGTAACCGGGATCAGCAGAGATGGGGCAAGGCCCCATCTAGCTCCCCAACCTGAGCAGTGCAGTGTCTTTTACAGGGCAGCTGCATCATGGAAATGAGGGATTTATAGGAGGATCCAGTATCTATTTGGCTTAGGTAAGGAGGAAAAACCAGGTCACTTGTGCCCTAGATTGAGTCATCCTTTAGGGAGAAGTGGCAGATCCTGGGTACAGGGACCGTTTGGATAAAAGCAAGCCTAGGTCTGAAGGCTACAAGTGTCCTCTGGAAATTACCATGCCCAGATTTGGCACAAGAAAAGGGCCAAGGGCAAGACCTGAGAGACATCAGCCCTTGTCCCAGCAAAGCAAGCTTCTGATGAAATATTGAAATATGGTCCATCTCCATCTGTGCTTGCAGCCTTTGGGCTACCAGATAGCACAGAGCAGCGTGGCTGGGTTTGCTGAGACTTCTGGTCCTAATCCGGTGCCATGGGCTGCAGGAAGGCCAAGTGGGCAATTATGAGTCCTTGGGGAGATGGGAGCAAAATCATAAATGCTTTAGATTGGAAGACACTTCTAGAGGCCATTTGGTCCAGGGCCCCTGCGATGAGCAGGGACATATTCAGCCAGATCACATTGCTCAGGGCCCCATCCAACCTGACCTTGGATGTGTTCAGGGGTGGGCATCAACCACCTCTTTGGGCAACCTGTTCAGTGTTTTGGAAAAAATTCCCTCCTATATCCAGTACATTTTACTCCTACCACAAATTAGAGGATGCCTGGTTCAAGACCTTTTACTGGAGCCAGCACCAAACCAGTATCATGCCAATGTGGTGTGACAGCCCATGCCCTCCTCTTCCCACAGACGCTGCGTGCAGCGGGGAAAACGTACATGATCTTCTTCGTGATCGTTATATTTCTTGGCTCCTTCTACCTCATCAACCTCATCCTCGCCGTGGTGGCCATGGCCTACGCAGAGCAGAACGATGCCACGATGCTGGAGGAGCAGCAGAAGGAGGAGGAGTTTCAGGAGCTGATGGAGCAGCTGAAGAAGCACCAGGAAGAGCAAGAGAAGATGGTTGGTGGAAAGTGTGGAGGCCAAAATGAGGGGTTTTGGGAATAGAGGGGAGAAAAGGGGAGGCAGTGACAAGGGTGACGGTGCCTCTGTTTATGTAAAATCCAAGGATGAGCCCCATTTGGTTCACAGTAAGGAAAGATAATAATTGAGTAACTGTTTGAGAGGGTCAGGGCTGAATCAAAAAGCTGAGATACAATCCTGGAGTATCCTGGAGCAAAGCTCAGTGCGTTAAGAAAACCACTTGCTTTTGGCCTAGGCTGGAGACAGCAGAGAGGGCCCAAGAGACACCGTGTCCTGCCCGGGGGGTCCGGGTATCCTCACAGGAGCCGAGGAGCAGCTCTCGGGGTCTGTGCTCACTGCTGTACCCAGCACATGAGCAGATATCCATGCCTGATGCTGCAGAGAGTTTGCACTGGTATTTCTCCGAGCTGGCATCTCTAAGCTGTCCCATTTCCACCCATTTGCTCCACTGTGCTCCCAAGGCATTACCTTAGCTGCCTTCTGCTCCTTAGGAGTCTCTTTTCAGCCTATAAAAATGTGGGCAAAAGCTTCTGTGGTGTCTGACACTGCCACCCAGCCATTTTCCACCTCTAATCATGATTTTGGCCGATGTCAGCAACAGGCACAAGAGACATCCCTGCAAATCTAACTGCTGGTGTGGGCAAAAGCCCAGCTTCCTCACGTGCAGAGACACAAAACAGCGTTTTCCTCTCTCTAGAGCCTCTATCTCTTATCTGAGCCGAGCCACAGCATCCTCCGAGGAAGTGGCTTGCTCTTATCTGGCCGCTGCTCTCTGCAGGATGGGTCTAAGCCAGCCCTGCCCCAGGGATGGGGACTCCAGGGCTGATGCTGTGGCCTGAGCAAATTCACCAGTGAGTTGCCCAAAGACTTTATTTAGGGATGATGCTCCTTCATCGTCACCTGGAGAAATGAAGATGATGGAGGGAATAGGGCAGAGAGTGAGAGCAAAGCAAAATCAGTGCTCAGATCCATTTAATATCCAGCAACCGAGCGTGGAAATCGTGGTGGATCTGGGCCATTCACAGTGGGAACAGAGGTTCCCACTCCACTCTGGCATCCGTAGTGCTACCAGAGGGTATAGTGAATTTAGAGTATTAATACCACTGTTGGAAAGGATAAAAAGAAAGAAGGAACAGTTGCACGTGCAAATGAAAACCGAATAAAACATTTGGAAAATAAAAACGTGACCCAAACACTCACAGATTTAATGCAGGTCCAAAAATCTTGGATGCTCCATTTCAGCAAGAGCCCTGAAGATTTTGCTGCTTTCCCATTTGGGATGAAAGTGTCTTTCAAAGATTAAAATTTCTTCTAATTTCTATTAGAGCTATAACTTTATGAATTATTCGCCCTGCCCAAATGGTGAAGGAAGTGAAAAGGAAATACTTGCAGCCGCAGGCGTGTGATGGCGATGGGGGTCATGGGGATGGGGGTCATGGGGGTGATGAGGGCGATGGGGATGCGGGTGATGGAGCTGGGGTGGTTGTTGCAGTTGCAGGACCGGTGCTCCAGCAGCGGTTCCCTGCCCAGCAGCACGAGCGGGAAGGAGCCTGACTCGGACCTGAACAGTGACCAGGACAAGGCAAAGGACTGCAACGGGCAAGTGGTCCCCAAGGTCGTGCTGCAGCGGTCTGCTACGATGATCGAGGTACGTGCTCGGCTCTGTCTCTGCTGTCCCTTGAGCATGCCCACCCCAATAAATGCATGCTCACCCAGTGGAAAGACAGGCTTGTGTCCAGCTTGTTGTGGATCTTACGAGCCTTTCTGCAGCCCATGTTGCAGCCCAAGGTCTCTCCAGATCCTTTTTTCTGCTTGCCCTATCTTTAAGTGCATTAAATACCCTGCATCTCTCTGCATTCATCTTCTGTGGTTTCCTCCCCTTCTAGTTTGACCCAACCAATGAGCCTGAGAAATCGGACCACAACCACCTCACCGTGGGCAACCAAGATGGGCCAGGCCTTGAGAAGAGATCAGGGAGCGCCATCAGCGTCCTTTCCAATGCTATGGAAGGTGCGTCCGTCTCTGGCCTCGGGGAGGGCCAGGTGTGCCGGCCGCTTCAGCTCAACCATGAGGTTGGTGGGCTTGGGATGCTCGGCACACACCGGTGACAGTGGCTGTCCCGAATCCCCAGCCCCACACAAGGGACGACTCTGGACCTGAGCTCTCCACAGGGGCTCAGTGCACCCCAGTGATCCTCAAGCAAGGCAGCCCAACTCTCTAGGATGATGCCTGGAGGCAATAATACGACATCTCATGTAAATGAATGGGATTACAATTGAATACAGCAGCCTCCATAGTCAACCCAGAGCTATTGAGTGGCATCCCAAGAGCTCCTGTCCCAGTGTCAGCAAGAAGTGCCATAGACTGGGCAATAACAGGTCTCTCAGCCTTGTTGGGGATGCGCACCAAGCCTTCCAGCCACACCAGAGCAGTTCCCTTGGGTGTCCCTGCCACGTTGAGATCTCAGGGACACCTCAAACTCTGCCCAGGGGCTGAAAACAGGGTTGGACCCACGGTTCCCTGACTGCTCTGCCTTTCCAGCCCTCTCTGGTTTGGAGGGGAAGGTCTGCAACATTGCTGTGCCTGGGCATGGGAAGGTTCCTCCTCTTAGCCCCCATATTAAACTGGAACATGGTCTAGGGCTGGTTCAGGACCCCCAGAGAGGTCCCTTCTAGGGGGTTAACAGTTGTCCCATCTAGGAGAAGACAGGAGACTCCTACACTGATGTCCTTTTTGCTTCCTCAGAGCTGGAGGAAGCTCACCAGAAGTGCCCGCCCTGGTGGTACAAATTTGCCCACACATTCCTGGTCTGGAACTGCTGTGTTCCGTGGGTGAAGCTGAAGGAGTTTGTCAAGCTGGTGGTGATGGACCCCTTTGTGGACCTGGGCATCACCATCTGCATCGTGCTCAACACTCTCTTCATGGCCATGGAGCACTACCCCATGACGGAGGAGTTTGAGAACGTGCTGTCCGTGGGGAACCTGGTAGGCAGCGATGGGCATCACCTCCTTCCCCATTTAGAGCCACAGCGGCCAAACCGTCCACCCTGGTGGGCAGATCCCCTCTGCAGTCCTTGCGTCAGCTGAACAGCATCCATGCATGCCTGGAAACTGGGCCCAGCTGCTGAGAAAGCGCTTGAGTGGGATGGAGGGGGTCTGATCACAGCATCCCTGTGGTGGGTTGGGCTCCAGGATGGCTCAGCTCATCAGTGATATGGGGATGGGATCCATAATCCCCCCTTCCCCTTCTGCTGCAGCTTCTGTCTCACTTGGCGCATCCCGGTGATGCCGATACGGCTTTGGCTTTGCAGAGCTGCCCTGAGCCAGCTCCTCCATTGCAACCCACGAACGCGCTGCATTTTCAACGTGTGGATGTGGCACTTGGGGACGTGGCTTAGTGGCCATGGTGGTGCTGTGTTGACTGTTGGACTGGATGATCTCAGAGGTCTTTTCCAACCTTAATAATTCTGTGATTTAAGCCCAGGGTCAGGCGCAAGCTGCTGCCAGCCCTGGCTGACACCGGTGTCCTCGCGGTGTTGGGTGGCATCTGCCATGAGCAGGGACCCATTCAGATTCTGGGAGCAAAGAGGTCCCCACTGAGCAGGAAGCAACAGTGCTGGCAGCATTGGAAATAGTAGTAGTAGTATTAGTAATAGTAGTGGTAATAGTAATGGTAGTATTAGTAGTAGTAATTGTAATAATAGTAGTAATGGTAATGATAGTGATAGTAGTAATAGTAATAGTAGTAATAGCAATAGCAGTAGTAGACATTGTAGTAGTAGTAATAATAGTAGAGTAATAGTACTGGTAATGGTACTAGTAGTATTGGTAATGATAGTAATAGTAGAAATAACAACAATAGTAATAGTAGTTGTGGTGGTAGTAGTAACAGTAATAGCAGTAGCAATAGTAGTAGCAATACAATAATAGTAGTAGTAATAATAGTAGTAGTAATAGTAGTAGTAGTAGTAGTGATGATGATGATGATGATGATGATGATAATGACTTTTCCCAGTGAAATCACAGCAAATCCGGGCAGTCCTGATTTCATGGTGTATCCAGCCGCCAGCTGTGGCTGCTCCTGCTCAGAGCCCTGTGTAAACGGCTTCCATCTGGGTGCAATCTGCTGGCGGGACATGTCCAGGAGGCCCTGGGTTACTCTGGGAAATGCAGCCAAGGGCTGAGAGAGCTCACACGTCTCCTGTCCCGCAGCCTTGCCCTGCTCCAGCACCTGCCAGGACCGCTCTGTGTGCAGGCACCGCAGTGACACGTGGCTGTGCCCCAGTCCTGGGCGGGCAGGATGACGCTCAGCACATAGCTGCTTTATCTCTGGTTTCATTCAGGAAATACAAGGGGATTAATCGGCCGTTGCTCAAAGCACGACCAGGCTGCAATAACAACTCCAGCTTTGCCTTCGGCCAGCAGCAGTTTCTGGCCGCATGTCCCAGCACCAGGGGGGATTCACTGTGGAAGGGCCAGGGAGGGATGGGAGCAGGAAAAGCAGCTCTCACTGAGCCAAATATCCGCCCACATCGCCTGCCTGTGCCCCAGAAGAAAGGAGAAATATGTCCAGGCTGGAAGGGATCAGGAGTGGAAAAGGGGTCATTTTGGGGCTGGCATGCAAAGGGCCATGTCAGGGAGCACCCCTGGGGATGCTGGTGCAGAAGTCTCCCTGCAAAGCAGAGGCACAGACCTGTGTATCCCAACTGGATCTGCATCCAGGGCAAAATCTGTCACCGGGCCCCGTCTGCACATGCCATGCCATGGAACTGCATCAAGGATGCTAATTGTCACATTGCTGATGCCGCTCCGGAGTAATGTGATAATGCACAGCGCCGTTGTAGTCCCAGGAAAAGAGCAATGTGTAAAAGCCAGATCAGCTTTCGCAGGGCGCAGGGAGGGGCAGGGGCATCCCAGTAGCAGCCCAGTTCCTGTGTGACTCGCGGTGCTGGGAGCCCCTGGGATTCAGCAGCCGCTCAAAGGGGCTCCCGTTGAAACAAGACCTGTATTTTTCATTTCCACCTCACAACGAGCACCATTGCCATGTCACTCCAATAGCAGTTGGTTTCCAGTACTCCCAGTCTGGCCTCACAAGCCACACATTCTCAACCAGGGCTGGACCCAGTGGGGTGAAACATTGGGAATATCCCAAAAAGGAGAGGTGCTACCCACCCTAGTCCAAGCACTGGCTCTCAAGCAAGCTGACAGGGCGCTGTTTCCCACAGGTCTTTACAGGGATCTTCACGGCAGAGATGGTGCTGAAGCTCATTGCTCTGGACCCCTACGAGTATTTCCAGCAGGGCTGGAACATCTTTGACAGCATCATCGTCACCTTGAGCCTGGTGGAGCTGGGCCTGGCCAACGTGCAAGGGCTCTCCGTGCTCCGCTCCTTCCGCTTGGTAGGTGCCATGGGGACAAGCTGTGCTGGGGGGGTTGGATGCACCAGGGTGGAGAATGGCTCCTTCAACCTCCTTTATGGCAGTCACCAGTGTGTCCTGTTCAAGATAACACTGACAGTTGAGCTGAATATTTAGGGAAGTCCGAGTCTGCGCTCTTTACAACGCAGTTGGGTGTTTAATCCCTCCTGCCTTAACAAAACTGCCACGTGAAGGTCGAATCCCAGCCTTGCTGACACCTTGCGGCAATGACAGCCCCAGCCCGATCAAACACCTTGTTTGTCTCCTTGCCCCTTGCAGCTGAGGGTTTTCAAGCTGGCCAAGTCCTGGCCCACCCTCAACATGCTCATCAAGATCATCGGGAACTCGGTGGGCGCCCTGGGGAACCTCACGCTGGTGCTGGCCATCATCGTCTTCATCTTCGCCGTGGTGGGGATGCAGCTCTTTGGGAAGAGCTACATCGAATGCGTGTGCAAGATCTCCCTGGACTGCACGCTGCCCCGCTGGCACATGCACGACTTCTTCCACTCCTTCCTCATCGTCTTCCGCATCCTCTGCGGGGAGTGGATCGAGACCATGTGGGACTGCATGGAGGTGGCCGGCCAGACCATGTGCCTCATCGTCTTCATGATGGTCATGGTCATCGGGAACCTCGTGGTGAGTCTTAGGGTTGGGGTGGACCCTCAGTGAAAGAGGACAGAGGGTGGTGTGGGGTGGGGACACCTCTGTCCCCCCTCTGGCCAATGCTCATCTACAGGGCTGTGTCTGTAGGCAGGGTCTTGTTGGAGCTGCACAGGAGCACAAGCAAAGGGCTCGACCTCCCTCCTGTAGAGCCTGTGGGGGTGTGCTGCGAGCTCAGCTCTGTGTTAAACAGGGTGAGAAGCAATTTCTGAGGGACCTTAGGCTGAAACCAGCTCAGGAACAGAAAGGGAAACTGAGGCATGGAAAAGTTAGGCAGTTGCAGGAGCACCTCTCAGCCCTTTCTTCTCCATATGGCTTTGCAGGCTTTCCGCCCTCATTTCCAACCCTCCTGCAAGAAGAGATTGGGACAG